GAAGCAGGAGAGGATGATTTGTCCTTTACTGAGGAAAGTAAGAAGAATGTTGACTTCCACTAAATGTTTCAAATTAGAGTAAAGATACGCTTTCTAATACCCCTTTACTCTTTTTTTTTCCTTTGGGAAAAATAAAACAAAATTTCTTAATCAAATAATAAGAGGATAACAATAGTTCTTGCACTGTGCATCGTTATCTTCAAAGTAGTTACTCAGTATGAGGCATTAAAACAAAGAGATTCTCACAAAAAAGAAACAGATAATAGCACAAATCTGCCTTTCTGTATAAAGCAGTAGTATAAATGAAGCCAATTAGCATATATATTGAAATATTTTTGAAACAATGGAATCTATAGTTTGGGGAAGTGTTTGAACTCCGTATTTCCTACCTCTCTCACTCTCCTCTTTTGTTCTCTGTTTGTACCCTCTTCCATGCTGGTGTCCCCATGCCTGCTACAGATTTAGGTATCTTATGCACAGTGGTTGAAAGAACAATAGGATGGAATAAGCAATGGGAAACTGTAGCTAATTCTGAAATTGTTAAATGGGTGACAGCGCAAGAGGCCCTTGTACATCTGTAAGAATGAGATGGATCTTCAGGGAGCAAGGGACTGGGTTGTAGTATCTACCTTAGAACCTTTCTTTCATCCTTCGGACTCCTAGTAAACCACTTCCATTTTCTTACTTAGCCCCACGCACTGCTCTGGTGGCCAAGAACACCAAGAAGAGACCACGATGAAGTCCCTTTTGGGTCGAATACAGATCTGCCTCACTTCCTAGCTCATCAGCCCCAGTACACCCAGTTCTTTATTTTAACATGAGGAGAACTTTTTAAGTAGGTCTTCAGTGCAACCTGTGTTGAGGGGTGGTGTTTAAAGGGGTTTGTAGAGCAGATTATGTTTAATTAGAGCACTAGCATTTGCAGTTTACGTATCATACAGACAATACAAGCTAGATATCTGGCCTTTCATTTATGATGGAACCAACAGAATTCAGTTCTGCTGAGTTACTGCCCACTGCATGCAACATATGCATGGAAAGGAATGGGCCTCTCTGGCCTGTGTGTTGCACATGAAGAAAGCACCCATCCACTCACACACTGACATACAAAGAATTCACCTGTCTTTGGGTTGAAATAACCATGATCTAACTGCAGGCTTCTCAGGGATGGAGAGCATTGAATTTGCCTCTAACAGAAATGGAGAGAAAATGAAAACATGTCTGTCACAGCTGGAGAAAAGGCCCCAGATGCCACTGAGCAAGTCTTTTCTGCATGCACAACCCAAAGATCAGCAAGCTATCGCCCTTCAGGGGGGCTCAAAAGTTGCTCTCTGTGGTTGTCGGTACAGCTGAATCCATTGGCTTTGCATTTAAAAGTATGGAAGCAGATCTTCCTGCAGAATTGATAGCAGCTCCTGTCTGTGCAAATCCCTAACTCTACTACCTTTGGGCATCCCTTGGCATTCACCAACCAAGCAGCCAAAAAACACCAAAACATAAACACATTTTTTTGTTTTGTTTTGTTTTTCTCCAGTACCGGGAACCGAACTCACGACCTTGCGCTTGCCAGGCAAGCGCTTTGCCGCTGAGCTAAATCCCCAGCCCTAAACACATATTTATGCAAAAGAGTATCGTATGATCATTGCAGCCAGGCATGGTGGTACACACTTGTGATCCCAGCACTCAGGATGCTGAGCCAGGAGGATCATCATGAGTTTGAGGCCAGCCTGAACTACAAAGTGAGACCCTTTTTGGAAAAACCAAAGAAGGTATCATATTCATTTGAGACTAAGTGATGTGATAATCCTTTGATTTGAAGCATTATTTATTCATTTGTAAATTTTGATTAAAAGAAACTTATCTGTATACCTATACTTCTACTTGTGGTCACCAATTGTCTTGGAGAAAAAAATGGGAACAGAACTGAATTTAAAAGGAACTAGAATAAGTAGGGACCCTAACAACACATGTATGTTTTAGATTAGCTCACTGTTTCCCAGCTGTGGTGCTGGTACCACTGAGGGTATATACATTTAAGAGGTGCGTAGATGAACAAATTTCAACAGTTTTAGATTAGAAAATATACATAGGTAGCAAATTAAACTTGATATTTCATGGATATTATTGCTTTAGCAGTAATCTGTTCTTCAATTTGGAAACTATTTGTATAAAATTATTGTGTAAATCTTATATTCATATGTAACATGTAAATCTTATATCCATATGTAACATGTACTGTATTGCCTTGAAAATAAGATCTAACTGGAAAAGAAACCCTAGCATGATTTTTTTCAGGATGCTTATAATATAAAACCTACCCCCAAAATAAGCCCTGGTTAACATCATCAGCCAGACAGATGCATTTAGTACATCCAATGCAACACACAAGGGATGTATTAAATTATAAGGTAGTAATATTAATATGTAATTAAACATAAATTATTAATATAGAATTACAATATAATTGCAATAGCACATAATTACTATATAATTAAATATAAATAAATTGTTGGCATTCTATTTAAATTATAATGTAAATTATAATTAAATATCTGTAAATACTGAAGCAGGCATCACTGGAAGGGAGATAAACGTCAACATAAACAGATAAACTGGAGATTTATTGCCTAACGACCAACTGGAGCAGATGCAATGCACAAATGACACGCACACATGATAACAAATGGCTGTGGTTGTGCCCCATACGAATCTTCATCACTCAATACATTGTGTGTTGTAACGGACGTACTTAGTGCACTCATGTGAAATAAAGAAACATCTTCTGAACCTTGGAGCCCGCGATTATTCCCGACTTTCGGGTGGGCTGTCGTTCTTAACTGTCATCATTTTTGTGGCCACTCCTGTCCCATACGTTTTTCAATTAACACTCAATTGGATGGAAACTTCACGAAGCCCAGCCTGAAAGAAGTCTTGCATCAGGTGAAGAATTCATGTGGTCAAATTACTGACAGCTGTGTTGCAGGTTACAAGCAGGTAACTTGGATAAGAAGTGTTCATCTAAGTTCTCTGTTGCTACACATGAAAGATTGGAGCCAGTGGTTCTATGGGAAATGGAGTCACAAGACATTCAGGCCAGAATTTGGGGGTTGGAGCATTAGGATGGTGTTACAGAAGATGACATGACTGTATTGAATAAATATAGATCTTTGTGCATGAATATAGATTGTCGTACATAAAAAAAAATAAGAATCCCCTGAAAATAAGCCCTATTATATCTTTTGGAGCAAAAATTAACATAAAACCTTGTCTTATTTTGGGGGAAATATGATATGCATGGTAAAAATCAGTAAGATGGGTGTTTTTTTTAATCCATTCCTCTGCTGATGGACATTTGGGTTGTTTCCAAGACTTAGTTATGACATATGGCTCTGCTATAAACATGGGTGCACGTATATTGCTGCAGTATGATGTTTTCAGTTTCTCTGGAAAAATACCCAGAAGGGATATTTAATGTGGGTTAAGTGGGACTTCTAATCCCAGTTTTGTGAGGAACCTCCAAACTGATTTCTACAGTGGTTTCACCAGTCCACACTCTCACTAGCAGTGGAGAAGGGTTCCATTTTCCCACAGTCCCTCCAGCATTTGTTATTGGTTGTTTTCTTGATGATAGCCATTCTTTCTGCGGTGAGATGGAATCTCAGTGTTGTTTTAATACAATGGAGTATTACTCAGCTATAAAAAAGATAAGCTCCAGGTTTTTATAGGTAAATGGATGCAGTTAAAGACCATACTCAAGTGAAATAAATCAGACCCGCATGTGTAAACATTGTATTGTCTCCCTAGTGTAAGAACCTAAAAGAGTGAATAAAACCCAAAAGGTACAGTAGATATTGTGAAAGTGAAAGAAATTGCTCAAAGGGAAGGAACAACTGGGATGAGGGGAGAAGAAAAGAAAGAAAGGAAGGGAAAAATATATATGTATATAAGAGGATAGCTGGGATAATTGTACTGCTGATATCTATTGGTTTACTGAAAGAAACAGTTAATACATAAATTTTTTTCTTGACCAGTTTTACATGCTTATCTCTGGTAATCTGAACAACTAATTTGAAGGCAACAATATGCAATATAACAACCACTGTTGAATTTCTACCATCTTATTTAGTGAAGCTCCCTATCATTTCTAATGTTTTTATTACTTTATATTTATCTAATTGTTTGATCAATCTTGCATTCCTACAGCTGGTAATCTGAGCAACTTCATTGAAGATATCAATATGTAATATAACAACCATCGTTAATTCCTATCATCTTGTTTTGCAATCCTGTACCACTTTTATTGTTTTTGTGATGTTTGTTTTTTGTCTTTGTTGTTATCATTTTGTTATTTTTTTCTCTTGAAAATAAAAATAACAGTAAGATGTTCCTCCAATGGCTGATGTTTAGAAATATAGATTAAAGTATTACTATTAGAGTTTGATGAGTTAGGAACAAAGCAATTACAAGCTGCCAATTAATATATCTGTTCCTTTCAAGTTTTATTCCAACTTTTTCTTCCAGTGCATTGTGCCCCCCATTGACTTCAAGTGTCTTCAAGAGGTGGAGATACGCAGAAGAATAATACTGTGTTGGGTTGTCAAATAAGTCTACTTGTTCTTGCAAAGATTACATGAGTTATCTTCATAAGGAGGTACAATTTTGATGCAAGGATATTTTCTCTGTTGATGAATAATATTAAATACCCAAGAAACATCAACTCCAAGGGGGAAAGTTTTGGATTATTGCACTGTGGATAGTGCCCTCATGTGGCTTCACAGTTCAGCTACATTTTAAGAATTATAAACACATTTCCATGTTACGAATTACAAAATATGGCAGATAATGACAAACGAAGTATACGAGAAAAAGAAACAGCTCAAGAAAATATGATAATTCCCTATGTCCTAATCCTTTTGTTGAGCAGAATGGGATACCAATATGGCAGACAGGTTGTCTGATCAACTAGTAGGGAATAATCAGATGTCAAAATTATACACGATATTCTTTGTTCAGTTAAAATGTTAATAAGTCACAAAAGGCATTTTTATTTTAAGTTTTATTTTTATCAAAACAAAGTAGTTTAACCACATAAAGAAATAAACTTCAACACACAACCAACAAGCCAATTGCTTCCCCTGATTATGAACAAGCAGTTGTAAGTCGTGACAGTTGACTGCATCTGTGAAATAGTAAGTCACCCTCAAGAACTCCAAGAGATAGCAGCTGACGATTTTTCCTGTCTCCATTTCTCCCAGTGGTGAAGTAATGTGTTCATATGTTCTTATACTTCTTCAGATCAAACTATGCATATTCCCACATAAGTACAAAGCATGGATGAAAAGAATCACACAAGGTAGAAATCTAGCACACCAGATTTTCTATATCCCAACACCAACGTTTAATGAGTTCTGAAAGGTAAGGACAAGAAATCATGCTTAAAGATGGAGACATGTAGTGTTTCAAAAGCCAAAGTGTCTCTCTCACATGAACTATGGAAATAACAACTGGAGTGAAGAAAAACACCCAAGCCCTGCTCGCTGTGTTGGTAGAAATACGATCACCCATAGGGCCAGGGAGGCCGTTTTCTCTTCCCCATATTAAATTATGTCTGGGGAGTTGAGCAGCAGCACATTCCCATAATGATGACAGTTTCCATAACTATAAAAATCTGCTGCACCAGGCAAATTTTGTGTAAAATGCAAATCTCTATGCTGGGGAAAAAATGAATAATGTGATCGTTCTAAGTAATGAATGTAAATGCAAAGAAATACTGTTTGGCACGAGGTTGCAAATAATTTATCTTTCATGCCGAAGACTGTGGTCACAATGCATTTTGCAAGCCTACTCTTCCAATCTCAGCTCTGGAAGGGAGGTTTCAGCGAGACAGTCTAGCTTGCTCTAGGTTACTCACCAAGCTACTGGCCATGTTTCCATTTGAGCTCAGAAACGCCCGACCCCATCCTGTGGATGACTTGGCGAGTGAGTCACAGTTTCTCCCGGTTGCTATATGAACCAAGAGAATATTAGCTTTATCTAGAATTCAAAAGGTCATATCTAATAGGAAGGATGAGCGGCCCTTCATCATGCTTTAAAGCAAGGTGGACCAAAACCACATGATTTTAAGGGTCAGTTAATAGTTTATGTTCCTAAGGGAGGAGCTGACACTGCTCTCCTCCACATATCTTAAAAAGTGAGACGAAGCCAGTCATAGGTACAATTAAAGGGATGAACCTGTGCCTTGAGAGTATGCCAAGGAATCCAAAGTGTCCTTCACTCAGTCTATGTCCGCATTCTTAGAGCTATGCTCCACGGAGGAAGCTGAGGCACCGGTTAGTAAAGTCCCTTAGCTGAAAACACAAGAAAATGAACAGCGGGGGCGGAAAGAGGAAACCTTTAGTCTTTCAACTCCGGCTTGCCTTGTTCTAAAATAAAATTTCCTTTCCCTTAATCATCATGCAGTATGCACTTGTAGCAGGTAAAATTGCAGTAATTATCAATTGATAACACTGAAATTTTATTTTCCGTAACTCAAATTGGGTTATGGGTTGCTGGTGTTACCCTTCAAATGCATTCCTATAATTGCATTTCACTTTAAGAAAACCCATAGGAAAATCAGGTTGATAAAAATCAGAGATTGTTGCTTTATGAAAGAATTCTTTATTTTTAAAAAAAAATCTTAGCCGGGAGCACACTTCTGTTATCCCAGCTACCAAGGGGACCAAGGCTGGAGGACTGTGAATTCAAGCCCAGCCTTGGACAACTTAGCAAGACCCTGTTAAAAAAAAAAAAAAAAAAAAAAACCCACAGCAAATAAACAAATAAAAATTTTAGTTTAGAATACCTTCTATAGCCAGCACACCTACGATCAATTATTTTTCTAAAAAAGATCCATTGAAATACAGCTTTTCACAAATCCATGTTGTTATAAAGTAAGGAACACTTAGGAACATTATCACACAGTAGCTAAATGATTAGGCGCAGCAAAACAACAAACTGCCTGCCTTTGTAAGTGACCTGGGTTGTTAAGGATATGCAAATCAGCATTCTGCCATGTTGGTTCAGGATTAGGCTGTGGCAGCCAGCCATGCTGGCTCACAGGAGGATAGAGTTTCCATGGCTATCCTGTGGTCAGAGTTATTTAGCGCTGTGCCTGACTGATTTGGGTTCAGTGATCCAGCTGACAAGTCAGGAAAGAAAGATCTGGAAGGTAGTTTCCTTCTGCCCCTGATCAACGCCTCCCAAGAAAAAAGTAGCCAATTCAACTCATACATCTGTTTTCTTCTACTCACAGATTAGTGTTCTGGTTTTGCTTCTTACATTCTGAACTATGAGCCAACATTTCTAAGCTGTGTGATGGCACCCTAAATTCTGGGACTCTGAAGAAAAATTAAATGGAGTTTCCCTAAGCTCATATTCTGTATAGTAGTATTCGCTGAAGATTTCTGTGTTTCAGTTCCTCACAATCCGCACCCAAATTTCTCCCAAGCAGTAGCCCTGGGGCAATGGTTTTCCTTGGGGGACATCTCCAAGCCAGGGAGCCTAGATGTTTCAATGCAGGGCACCTTCTCCATCATTAGCTCTCACCAGGATCAGAACCTGGTGAGACTTTCATTCAGCTCATCATGTTCAACTCTTTCTGATTTAAGGAAACTAGGGTGCAGGGACCATCTTCCCTATGATTTCACCACTAAAGAGACAGCCAGGACTTCATCTATCTCCCTCTAGGTCTCAGGCTGCTTTCCTATGCTGGCATAGGTCATTCAAAGGGTAAAGAACCACCACGTTGCTTGTGTTTGGTTTTAAAAGGATACTAAGTTTGTGTCTAATGTCCTTTTACCTTCCTTTTTATGTTGTTATTAGTTGGGCTTATCCTCATTAGGATATGTATGAGTACATATGAAATGACCACAGACCTATGCTAAGTAACCAGGGGAAGCTGATGTTGCATTGAAATTTTCTACAAATAACACCGAAATTGGAAAATGCACATGAAGATATTGAAATTGGACCATACTTAGTCACAGGCAAGGGCTAATTGAAGTATTCAGGTGTGTGAGATGTTTTGATTGCTCCCTTGCCTTTGAAGTACAAGAAGTAGTATGAACATCATTACATCAAAGTTAAGCAGAAAGAGCTTGGCTATAAATTTCAAACTGTACAAAATCATACCAAAAGCAAGTATAAAATTTTATTGAAATGTACCATTGTAAACCTCTTTAAGTTTTTCCTTTCCCATTTAAGGAGAGGGAAAGGAAGGCAGGATATTTGAGGCTCAGCCTAGTGGGCTAGCTGACGTCGATCTGCCATTTTCCTCAGCACAGGGGTGCACTGGCTTGGAATTCTGGGGAATTTTATCTGCACTGTTCCGATTTGCACGATACAGAGGCTGATTTAATTTGACAGCAAAGTAACACCAAGCCCCCAAAATAAAATTACTGAGATGTAAAACAGCGTCAAAACTCCAATTAGTTTTGTATCTTTGAAGCTTCTGGAGGAAGTCTAAAAGGCTCCCGTCACGAGGAGCAGGCATCATTTCAAGCTGCACAGATTACTAAAATGTAACCCTCTAATTGAAATTGCTCAGAGCACAATATGACAAAAAGAATCAGAGGAAAATAAGTGAATTTTTCCCCCTCAAAAAATGACTCATTACAGAGAGACTGTTCTATTGACTTTTAACACAGCGTTCTTTTGCGAGAACTAAAAAAATCAACGGTCTCAAGGGTCTCACAGAAAAAGCACCAGGTACAAGAGCAGTACGTGCTTGTGTTATTTGACCACACACGAGCATTGACCATTTGTGCAACACTAAAAAAATCAACATTTCACCAGATCATAGGCATTTTGAGATGTATTTACAACTTCCACTCAGGAGGGAATTACTCGGACCAAACCAATTTTGGAAAGACTCTGAATTTTGTCTCCAGAATGAACAGAAATATCTTGATGCTCCATTCACACCCCAGCTTTCTTTAAAGCTATCCCAGTCATCCCAAGCATGCTTCCCATCTGGAAGCAAACCCTCAGCTTACTAATGGAGAAGTCAGGAACGCTGGCTCGGTGGAGTCCCCTTATCAGTACATGCGTCGCTGTGGTTGTCACAGCTAGTGCCACTCTACCAGCGTGGAGCGAGGTAGAATGACCTATGTCCACCTTTGTCCTACCTGCACCAGGTAGGACACCGTCCTACACCGTCTTTCTCCGGAAGTGTCATATTTCTATGACCAACCGGTCTTCATCATCACTGCTGGTGTCACTCAGCTCCACTCGTGTCTGCTTTCTCATTCCTTCCAAACTCCTTTTCCTGATGGACTTAGAAGGAACTTCAGGGACTTCTGAAGGCTGCCCAGGTTTGAGCAGAGAGGGCTGTGAGACAAGGCCTGGTCACTGTGAACAGTGAGCCTTCTTTGAATGCGCTTCATGGGCCACCTTTGTCCTACCTGCACCAGGTGAAGGTGATCAGGCCCAGAGCAGCTGAGAAAGGGTGTGGCCAATCAGAGGTTTGGAGTTGGTTGGAGTTGGCTTCAAAGGAACACAGAATGGCTTTCCTGGTCTATAGGTGTTTGATAAATAGAGTTCAGGGAGTCTACCAGCTTGATGACACTTGCTTGTGACGTATTGACAGTCCTTGATCTTGGACACCGTCTTTCTCCGGAAGTGTCATATTTCTATGACCAACCGGTCTTCATCATCACTGCTGGTGTCACTCAGCTCCACTCGTGTCTGCTTTCTCATTCCTTCCAAACTCCTTTTCCTGATGGACTTAGAAGGAACTTCAGGGACTTCTGAAGGCTGCCCAGGTTTAGAAGGGACCACACAAGCCTGCAGAGTGATTAACCCACATACTTGGCTTTCCCCACTGTGGCTTCCTACAGCAGGGGACGGGGTGGCCACGTCCCCACACCCATAGTGGCCCCTGGAAGGAAAAGCAATCAGCTGCTTCCCTTCTACTTGGTGTGAACTCACTGAACTTGGTCCTGAACTTGGTATCTCAAGATGAGTTTTTCCAGTAGAGTCCAATGGAGCTGAACCTGAAACAGTTTGTCCGGATGAAGGTTTCCCTGGCGAGAGTGTCTGTGACATGCCCTCTGCTATGGCTCCTCTATTTAGGGGGCTTTGTGCTAGAGTTGCCCCTGTGACCTGATTGTGGTGATGTGGCTCTGAACTGTGAATTCCCAGCCTTGTGGGACCTGATCTCACCCCTAGAGAAATACAAATGGCAGCTGTCGAGGTAGCCACGGCATGGCAGGGAGAAGTTTCTTTGGGTTCAGAAGAAGAAGGCTCTCGAGCATCTGAGAAAATGCGCGATTTGGAATCTGTGGAGACTTGATCCTGGGGCGGCAGCTGCCGAGTCTCCTGCAATCCAACATCAAGACCTTTGCCAGGGGGCAAAGAGTCATCCTCAGGCATTGCCATACAGGTGTGAGACTGCAAAAACGATCCAGGCAGTGCAGCAGTGTCCTCCTGAGCCGAACAGTCACCAGGCTCACCAGCAGATGGAGAAATATCCTGCAGTAAAGTACAAAGGAAAAGAAACCATGGGGAAAAGGTTAATTGCTACAAAGGAAAATGTGGTCAGAAATGTGGTCCTCAGTGAAAACAAGGTCTTGAGGGCTTCATGATTCTTTACTGAGCATGAACTTCAATGTGATAACCTCAATAAGTTTCCATTAATAACTAATCGGGGCATTCGCTTGAGAAAAGTTTGTTATTCATACAAAATAGGTTGCGGAGATGGTATGTGTTTTGATCTGGCTTTATTAAAAAATAAAGCCACTCAATTATCCAAACAGCCCTAAGCTTCCTCCTTGCAGTCACTACCCCTTGTAAAGTTGATGTACAATTTATTGCACCATATATTAAAGTGTTTTCCAGATTAGCATCAGAGTGTGGTCTGGATCAGCTTTCTACATGCAGCTCCATGATAGGCCTGGGGGTGATGTCACGCTGCAGTAATATCTGAAGAATGATAGCATCTCACTTCAGGTATGAATTAATAATGTACTTAGGGTTTTCTAGAAATCAACCCAACCGTTTCTCAATGAAAGTTGCCCAATTTTTCAGTGTAGAAGTCTTGGACATATTTTTTTTTTTTTTTTTTTTGTATAGTGGATTTTTTGTTCCAGGAATTTGGAATAGGTGATCCTTGCAAATTCTGCCACATTGGACAGTGACAACACAAAAGGAGAACCAAAAATCTAGAAAGGGGATCAATAGCAAGAGCTCACCATCATAATTCCCACCTTGGGGCTGGGGATTTAGCTCAGCGGCAAAGCGCCTGCCTGGCAATTGCAAGGTCATGAGTTCAGTTCCTGGTACCGGAGAAAAACCAAAAAAAAATAATAATAATTCCCACCTTTCTGGTTAATTGATCTGTTTCTCTGGTGGCCCTTGAGCTTGTCACAAGAGAGACCGTTTCTGAGGTTTGTCTACAATCATCTTCTTTCTCCTCTTTGTCCCCGCAACCAGGAGACAACTGTGAGACAACACCAGAAGGTGCTCCTTGCAGATTTAGACCTGAAGGAGAGGAGACATGCTCACGTACATCTGGAATTCTCAAATGAGCAAAGGATAATCTCCTGAGGTCATCCACGCATTCACGGTTACCCTCAAGCTCATTCCCCTGCCTCCCACACAGTGTGTATAAGCACTCAACTCACCTCTAAGCAATTTACATGTGGTCTGATGGTCCCCATTTCTGCTGAGAAGCAAGAAAGCAAATCCCAAGGGAGAAAAATCCCCCAAATTACGTATACTGTAAGTGATATTTCATGCATCTCGTTTTCATCACAGTCATCTTCCTGTCATGTTTGTGTAGGTTGGTTTTAGATCACCTTGAATACTCTCGGTCTATAACCAGGTGGCTGAAGTGGAAGCTTCACTCTAGAGCATGTGTCCTGGCCTCCACTGAAGCCGCAGGCGGCAGAGAGTGAGGCTGGTATTTGTGATACTGATGTTTTGCAGTGGTGATTATTATGGTTGTTGGAGAAGGGGGCTTGACAATATGAACAAAACAGCCTTCCTCACAACTGCTGTCTCTCCATTGCTTACCCTTTCCTCTATTTTCTCCTAGATATGCAGGATACTGGTCAAAAGGACACGGAATTTCAGAGAGGGTAGATTACTTCATGAGATAAGCTGAGAAAAACATTCTAGAACACCTTTATTGTTACCCACTTTTAAGTTATGTACTTAGAGTTTAAAGTCAGACTTTTCTACTTATTCAGAAACCCCTGCCCACCTCATCCCACTTTGCACTCTTTTGAAATTTGTCTCCTTCACTTCTAATACTGTGCTTATAGCAGTGATGGGGAGCCTTTTAGCGCTTTCAATGATAAGAAACAGCCCATACATGTGCCATGGATTCACCACCACTGGCTTATGATATTGCTTCTCAATTTGCTTGTGCAGTCTATGAACTCTGTCACCCCTTTGTCCTCTTAACAGTGCCTGGCACCTAGTGGTTCTGTTTGATCTGAATCACATTCTTTTTTTTTTTTTTTTTAGAAAACTATGCTTGTTAAAGACCATGCACAATGTGTTGTTTTTAAATATCTACACACTGTGGAAAGATTAGCAAAGTCCATTAACATATGCATGATTTCACAAAATTATTTTTTAGGTGGGGAGAGGAGTACAAACACATAAAATCTACCCTCAGTGATCTTAAAAAATACAATTTAACACATGCCTTTGGCAGGCAGACTGACCAGAATCACAAGACCCAGTACAGCTGGCTGGGTACACAGGAGCACACACCTTTGGTGGGCAGAGTCTTGCGGAGCAAGACCAGCAACATGGAATGTCTAAAGCAGCATGGAGGACCCGGCAGTTGGGCTCTGGAGAACTCCACCAATAGAAGGCCTGGCCCAGCTCTCACATCCAGAGGCCAAAACCAGCTCCATACCCAGCATAATTCCCATGGCAAACTTGGCTGGAGAACACAGCACATTTCTGTGATCTGAAATGAACACTATCACAGAACTGTAAACACCAGATGTATTTTACTACTTTTATTCTCCTTTGTTGGATTGGCTATCCCTTTCTTGTCTGGTTAGATGTAGTCTTATTTTGTTTTGTATTTTGTGGTTATTTTTGTTTGGGGGTTTTTCTTCTTTATTTCTCTCCTCTCTTCCTCTGGTCATCTTATCTTTCTTTCTTTTCTTCTTTTCTTTTTTGTTTTCTTTTTTCCTTCTGTTTTTCATTATTTAGGTTACTTACCTTTCCTTTTCATTTTCTTCCATTGATCCTCTTTCTCTCCTCAACTACTTCTTGAATTTAAACTTTGAAGATAGTAAACATTGTTTCTTCCCTTTCTGATTACTTCTTTTCATTCTATTTCAATCTTTCCCTCCTGTACCTCTAGTTTCCCAAAACTCGAGTGATCATCCTTAGACCTCCAGCCTGGGTTCTACTATATTTGACCTTATTCATCACTTTATCCTGTCCCTTATTCATCTTAACTCTCCCTGCAGCCCACAGAAGGGTAAAATCAATCCAATAAGGGGAAAATCACTGCATACAAGTACATGGTATATGTTTGATTTTGTTATATAACTTTAGAGCTTGCTCCTGTAGTTGGAGGTAGTGGGTAAATGATTACCATAGTTTGTCAATAGTTAAACTGTACTTGAAACTATTAGCCAGGATGTCTGTCACACATGTTATAATCAGTTTTTATTCCCTGATACCACTGTGATTGTATGGAGTTAGAATCATCACCACAGCCCAGTACCAAAGAATAGAGTGCTGAGCTACATAGTAACTTTGCATCATTTACAGATTGGGAAGGTAGGCTCTTGGGATAAACATAAAGAACCACCTATATCTACAGGACACCCATGAAAAACAGACATCTAGGGAAACCTCAACACTAGTGATTAAAACTATCTATCATAAGAAATTGGCCAGCATCAACATAGAAAACAAAATAAAATAAAAAAGAGAAAATAAAAAATGGTAAGATGCAGAAGCAAAATGCAACCTCAGACACCCATCCCACCAAGGACAAGCCTGGAACACAATGAGATAGATGAAATTGGAAGTCAAATACTGGAACTTTCTGAAATGATAGCAATAGAAGTGCAAAAAAACAATTGGAAAAAGACTAGAGAAAAAATAATCTCTCAGGTACAAAAAGAAATGATGCTTAAAATCAAAGATAATAGAGAAGACACAGATAAAAGCATAGACGAGTTTAGAAAAATGATGGAAACAAAAAATGCCCAACATAGGAAATAAATGGAATCCATGAAACAGATCCAAATATAAATCCAAAATATTAAAAACTCCATTGAAAGTATATGCAACAGATTGAACAAAGGAGAGGATAGAATATCAAACCTTGAAGACAGAATTACAGGTAGTGACCATGAAAAGAAAAACATCTTTAAAATAGCAAGAGACCATGAAAAATCAATCTAACAGCTATAAGATGAAGCAAAGATGAATAACACAAGATTGATTGGGGTCAATAAGAAAGCTGTAGACAGTGCAAATGTCATAGAAAAACCATAGAAGTAATGGCAGAAAACTTTCCAAGTGTGCATAAAGAATTTGACATACAAATAAATGAAGCATATAGAACTCGAAACAAAGACAAACTACTCCAAGCAAAACTACACCAACACATATAAAATCAACATTCCAGAAATTCAGCACAACAAAATATTAAAAGCTATTAGAAAAAAGAAACAGATCACCTATAAAAGAAAGCCCATCAGAATCATGGCAGCCCATCAGAACATGAACCCTTAAGTCAAGAAGAACTTGGAGTGAAGTATTTCAAGTCCTGAAAGAAAACAACTTCCAAACAAGATTGGTGTACCCTGCAAAACTATCTTTCAAAATTAATGGAGAAATAAGATACTTCCATGACAAAGAACAACTGAAGAAATTCATGACCACCAAACCAACCCTACCAAAAGTACTCAAAGATATTCTAAAGGGAGATAAAAATGACCACAATTCCAAGAACAGCAACAGAAAGAAATCACCAGGCAGGGCAAGAAGTTAAACAGAGGGGAAAAGCAGGGAACCAACAGCAGGAACATATCATGACAAAGACAAGCCAACACATATCAGTTATAGCAATTAATGTAAGTGGCTTCAATTTATCAGTCAAAAGAAACAGATTGGTAGAATGGATCAAGAAGCAAGATCCAACAATATGCTGTATACAAGAAACACATTTAACTCAAAAAGAAATTCATGAACTGAAAGCCAAAGGATGGAAAATAATCTTCCATGCAGCAAGAACCTAGAGAAAAGAAGCGTAGCTGTTCTGTTTGCAGACAATGTGAATTTCAAACCTAGAATGATCAAAAGAGATAAAGAAGGTCACTACATAGCTGTTAGGGGGAAAGTTCAAGAAGAAGAGATAACAATCATAAATATGTATGCACCAAATACAGGAGTATCCAATTATATAAGACAATTATTAATAGATGTGAAAAATCAAATAAACACTAACCCAGTTGTAATGGGAGACCTCAATACCCCATTGTCACAAAAAGACAGATCAACTAGACAAAAAATCAACAAAGAAATATCAGAACTGAACCAAATCTTTGAGCAAATGGACTTAGTAGGTGTTTTCAGAGTGTTCTACCCCACATCATCAGAATACACATTCTTCTCAGCTGCACATGGGGTGTTTCCTAAAATAGACCATACTAGCCCACAGAACATGCTTAAGTAAATGCAAAGGAATTGAAATTATACCGTGCATATTACCTGACGATAGTGCAATGAAACTGGAAACTAATGACAAAAGAAACCACAAAAGCTCCATAAACATAGAAATTAAATAACACCTTCTAAACAACCAAGGGGTTACAGATGAAATTAAAGGATAAATTAAACAATGTTACAGCTAAATGAGAATGCAGATACAACATATGGGAACTTATGGTGAAATCAGTCCTAACAGGGAAATTTATAGCAGTAAATTCTCACATCAGGAAAACAGAATGAGCACAAATAAATAACCTAATATTACACTTCAAGCTTCTAGAAATAATACACTATAACAACCTAATAATACACTTCAAGCTTCTAGAAAAAGAAGAGCAAGAAAAGCCCACACAAGGGAGGAAATTATAAAGATCAGAATAGAAATTAACACATTAGAGACTAAGAAAACAATACAAAGAATTAAGGAATCAGAGTTGGTTCTTTAAAATAATAAATAAAATTGATAAACCCCTAGCCAACCTTAACAAAAAAGAAAGAAAGACTCAAATTTATGCATTGAGGAATGAAAAGGGTGAAATTACTACAGATCCTGTGGAAATTCAGAAGATCAATACCTATTTCAAAAACCTTTACTCTCATAGGATGGAAACAGAACAAATGGACAGATTCCTAGGTACATATGAATTACTCAAGCTGAATCAAGAAGATATAAAAATTCTGAATAATCCAGTATCAGTTAATGACATTGAAAATGTAATTGAAAACTTACCAACAAAGAAAAGCCCAGGTCCTGATGGGTTCACTGCTCAATTCTACAAAAA